CTTTTGCTAATTTTTGGTTATAGCTGTACGCTTTTACTTAGCATCATATACATTAAACTTTTTTCCGTCGCTCGTCAGCACGCAAGCATAAACAGCCAAGCGCAGGTGGCAATACATTTGTCAAGTTTCACAAGCATGGCTCGGAGCAAAAAACTTGGCCATCAAAACATTTTATGTATATGTTGTATTTTTGCTGTGTTATTGTCCTTATTTAATCGTCTTAACTGTGTTGTTTGTTAGTTCACGGCCGAGTACAACGATGAAGGGAGCTGTTCAACTTACAACAGTTTTAATGATGCTCAATTCATCGTTAAACCCTCTGGTGTTAGGTTGGAAAATGAGGGAAGTTCGTCAAAACGTTAAGAATTATTTTAAAAGTTATTTTTTCCATAAATCAGATGAAGCCTTCTTTCGGGTTACACGTTCAGCAGACAAACATCAAAAAATCGCAACTACTCCACCTTAGTCCTACGTAGAAAAAAAAAATAATGCTGGCGGGAAACCTGTGTGTAACTCGTCGTCGAGGGCCTCCTTTAGCTTTAGGTTGTTTTTTTTTTTTTTTCTTTTTCTTTTTTTCAAATCCATCAGATAGTGTTAAGGCATCAAAGGTTTTTTATTGCATTTTGTCGGGGACTTAAACGGATTGGCTTTCAAGCATGGAATGCTTGCCAAGGGCAATTTGTGACCTCATTTATTTAGCTGTCATTTTTCTGCCTTGCATGTACGGTTTTAATAAAACTAGTTATTCGTGTTTATTTGCAATCTTTCTTGATAGTTCAGTAACGTATCTTTCGTGCATTTAATAATTTTAACTACTGGGAGTGTGTCAAAGGACTTGGGTGAGGGACTGGAGGAAACGACAATTCTGTGTTAAGGAGGCTTAAGAGGATTTTAAAATACAACTGCCACGTTACGGTGCATTGTGAAATCCCGACTGATTTTAGGGCCTTAAATAAACCTAGAAAAATAACCAAAAACTTCCACCGTAAATTCTCATTTAAAAATGCTTTAAATCATGGGTACAGAAGCCCATAAAATGATAGTAAATACAAGCAGAAGTATATAACTCTGTTCCAGTGCAGGAGTTTTGGAGTTCGTATGCCTGAACTTAACTTATATGATAAATATAACCAACATATTATGCAAGTGTTGGATTTCTTCGTTGAAAAAGCTCATCGTACTTCATTGCCTTTTAATAAAGATTGAAAATGACATTTCATAGGAGGCAATTTATGGACTTGACGTAATGTGGTTTTTTTTATTTGTGCAAATTATCAGGAAACGTTTTACCCCGGCCAGTTCTGACAACACACCTTAACTTACTGGAATATACAGTGAAAACAAAGGCCGAAAAGCTAAGTAGAAGCCGATTGAGTAGATAGAATTATTTAATTGGTCAAATTATTTTTTTTTTACTTGTTTTCCATCACGAGATGCTCGCCGCCACTTGCTTTTTATTATTAAGCAACGCTAAATAATATTGTAGCAGAATAATCCCCGATTTTTAATACCCCAGGAGAAAAGTGAGAAGTTAGCCCATGGTCTAAAATGTTTAATTCTGTTGGTTTAATGTTATTTAATTGACGGTTTTGTCGGTATCATCTTTTAACTAATTTCTGTTTGGGTGATTTATTTCATCTATTTTCACCTTGGGGCCATTCACCTGGTCAGCAGCGTTTAATAACATGTCGTTTTAGACTCAGACCAACTGGTTTTTTTTCTATGTACTCAGTAATGATGCCAAATGATCAGCGACTGAGATGTTAGATAAGTAGTAAAGTACCCTCAGGCAGTTTTAGCTAAAGAAAAATATTTATAATTCAACTTACATGTACGTGATGAAAAATAGAGGATTTGGTCTAAAAAAAAAAAAAAAACCGACAATTCAAATTATGCCACTTACATACATTCATTTAAATTTTTAGTGGTTTCTGCCTGGAGGCTAGCAAGCCACAGAGTTGGCGCTGACTTTGATTCAGTGCCTTTTAGCAGTTAACCTCAAAAAAAAACAACATTACCAAGTCCAGGATTGTCAAGTACTTCCATCTCGTTTCTCTCTCCAAGAAATACGATATGATTGTCTTAATAGAAATGAAATTGACATTACATAACTTCCGTACAATATTTATTCTGGACTCTTTTAACTTTATCAATATTAATTGTTCAAGAAAGCTGTATTTGTTTTGCTATTAGAGAATCAAGCTATTGGAAAAATTATATCGATGAGCCAATTTGTCAGTCAAAACGACTAAAAGTGCTAATTTCATGCGCTTACGTAAAATAAGAAAATTAAGAAAGTTTTTTTATTCTCCTTGTACAAATTACCTTCAGAACGTCAACCGCGTAAAAGATACTTGATGCGCAAGATCACCACATTGTAAGTCAGGGGACGCTGCGTATATAGAAGTTAAAATGTCAGCATCACTCAATCTTTGCAATGAGGTTTTGACGAAGTACTATATATGGAAAACCTGAAGAAGTTTAACCTCTATATATTATTATGTGTGTCCTTAATAGTTTTCTCTCGGTGACCGCGGTTTTTGGAAACGCAAGCCTCATTTTTGCGCTAGGAAAAACTTCATCAATTCCTTCTTCAACGAGAACTCTGCTTTGGTGCTTGGCGATAACAGACCTCACCACTGGGGTACTAGGTCATCCACTCTACATCGCTGTAATTTCAAAAGTTCGGCAAAATTATAGCTGCGAGAACGTTCATGAAATTTTGCTAGCATTTTTCCTGATACAAGTTTCGTTAACTGGTTGCTCATTAATGGCGGTGACTTTCATCGGAGTCGATAGATTTCTTGCAATTTATTTGCATCTTAGATACAATGAACTAGTCACTACAAAGCGAATAGTCACCGTGGTACTTGCGTCGTCGACTTTTTCCCTGGCTACCATTTTCATATGTGTCTTCTGGTATTTTAAGGTTGGAGAAGTGGTTTTGCTTATTGTTGCTTACTGCTCCACGATTTTGCTCAGTATCATATACATTAAACTTTTTTTCTCGTCGCTCGTCAACACGCAGCAAGCATAAACAGCCAGGCACAAGTGGCAATGCAACTGTCAAGTTTCACAAGCATGGCTCGAATCAAGAACTTAGCCATGAAAACCTTTTACGTATATATTGTATTCTTACTGTGTTATTGTCCATATTTAATCACCTTGACTCTGTTGCTAGTGAGTCCTCAGCCGAATGCAGCTATAAAGGAAGCCATACAACTTACAACAGTTCTAGTGCTGCTCAATTCAATTCATCGTTAAATCCAGTCGTTTTCGGTTGGAAAATGAAAGAAGTTCGACAGATTGTTAAGAATGATTTCCAAAAGTTCATTTTTTGGAAAGCTGAAGATGTGTAATCGAGGGAACATGCAGAAAAGTTTACGTTTCTTTCCGGCATTTAATTAAGCGAATAGGGTCCTGAGCGCTTCCGTATGGAGTTAAAATCAAATGAGCTGACATAAACGTTTAATAAAATTTATAACTTAACCCAGCAAAGGTCAGAGGACCTCTTTGCTCGCAAAAACAAATTATATATTAAACATGCCTTTTTTCTCTTTTAAATCTATATCTCCTGATTACTAGTTGTAAGTAATCCTGTTTCAATAAACAGTTGAGAAAATGTAATTTACATTGAAGGCACGGGCACGTTAGACTTGCAAAAAGAAGGAGGAGACAGACATCGCAGTTTCATGCTTAGTGCTTATACGGCAAAAGATATGCTTTTTTTTTAACTTTGACGGAACGTTCGTTCATCCAATGACAAGTAATTTATCAGCTTGCCAAAAGTATTCTAATTAGCTGTCAAGTTCTCCTTTTTAATAAAAACGCATTATTTATATTTGTTTACAGCCTTCCTTAGAAAATCGTCTTTGCTATTTTTTGTTTTGTGAGTGGCAGAAGTTGTGCCCTGAAAAAAAAAATGACATGATAGTGGTATCATTCCTCCTTTAAAAAAAGTTAGAAGCAGGTAGAGTTCCGCGCCAAATATCACTCTTTTTGGCAGTCAAAATTCAGCTGGTTGAAGATCTTCGGATGGGAATTAATTACTAACTATTTCTAGAATTTCAAGTACAGGTGGTTGGATGGAAAGACAGAGAAAGAAAACTGAAGGAGACTAGAAAAGAAGACTGTTGACGGGCAAAGTGAAGTTCGCTGGCTAAATCGCAGGAGCGTTAAGCCAGTTTAATTTTTTGGCAGTTTTGTGTCCGTCAAGGGTTGGTGTAAGAGATAGCGATTCAGTGGGGATTCGGCCGTAAATTGCTTTAAAGACGCTTTTATTATACGGTCGCGGATCGAGTTCAAGAGGAGACAAAAGGCGGGTGTTTTAATTACCCATCTTATTAAGCTGGAAGCTGGACTTCTTCTCCAGGTAGTGGGAAATAGCTTTTCTTTTGGCAGTAACTTCAAAAAGAGTAGGCCTCGTTTTATAATCATGTTTCGCCAATAACTGTCTTTGGACGCCCCTGGAAAATGGCCGATCTTTTCGATTTGTTTTGCTCGTATTTTTAGTATTGTTATCAATGATTCCTGCTAATTAGTGATACTTTCCTATTAAGCAGAAAATGCATTTAAGAATATTCATTATACATACCCGGGATTTGATATCATTGCTGCCTTCCTAAAATGTCTTGTTGGAATTAAACTAACACTTACTGTACGCCATCGTGATAGCTGTTAACGGGGGCACCCAACGAGAATATAGTTCAAAACCACTTAAACATAGCATTGTTAAACGTATTTTAGTATTTAAACGGTAGATATAGGCATATTTTTATCCCCTAAAAATTTTTCATCTGCTCGGATTTCCTAGCTGAAAGTCTAGTGATCCGAAAATTATAGGGATCAAAACTTACCTTTTCGAAAATTTCAGCCAGAAAAAAGGCTCCCGAAAATTCTAGGTGACCTTGTTAGAGTAAAAATCCGTTAAAAATAGGCAATTATACCATTTTTTAGATGTTCGAAAATCCTAGGAGAGACGGGCAAGCAAGAAATTTTACAACAAATGTTTCGAAAATTCTAGATCTCAAATCGTCTTCCGAACAGATATTCTTCCGAAAATTGTCTTTGGGTGCCCCTGTGTTAAGACCTGTGAGAATACTTCATTGTTAGTGAAGAGTTTTTTGTATCTAGTCAAAAACATTTGGTTTTTACTTTCGCAAACACCAAAGGTTCTTTTATTTAGTCAAGAATTTTTTCTCAAATCTAGAGTACTTACGCTGGCTTCCACCTCAATCATGATTTTTTTTCATCCGATTGAGAACTAATATTGATCAAGAGCGTCAAAAGGGGCCCATCAAGCAATGCTTACGCGGTCTCACCAGGAAGCTAAATCACGTGATCTTAATGTAGCTCATTGTTTTGCACAGACCTAAAGTATCTACTGTCAAACCTCTCTACTATGGCCAACTTGGGGACAGAATAAAGTTGCTGTTGTGGAGAGGTGGCCGTTATGTGGATGTGACGGTTTAATGTGACAATTTTTTTTAGGGGAGTACAGCATATTTATTGTGCCAAGTTCGACATCCCCCAAGTGTAATCCAATCATAAAAACTTTGATATATAGAGCTAAAATCAGATACAAAAAAAATTTACAAATGATTTTTCGGATCAAAACGTTTACATGACCAAACAAGCAAGGCTCGCAACACTCGCTATAAGTTTTGTAGACAATTTTTGCTTACTGTAGCATTATTAAATGGAACACAATCAAAACGATTGCCACGATCATCAACGCGCCATACAGATCAAATTACGTAACCATTCCGGACCTCAGTCGCTGAAAAAACTGGCCGTTTGTCGAGAGGTTATTCTGGCATTTGAGGACGCCCTGTAGTGGCCGTTGCCGTTGTGGAGAGGGTTAAACAAGAGTCAATGTATGGACTGTCCACCGGGACAATGAAAGAGTGACCGTTGTAGACAGGTGGTCGTTGTGGAGACGTGGCCGGCGTTAGTGGAGGTTCGACTGTAAGTTTTAGGGTTAGTGTTAGGGTTAGGGTTAGGGGTTAGAAGAGCAGGTCACTAAAGCGGAAAAGGGGGTGACCTGATCTTCCACCTCAGTGGACAAAAAAATACTCAGTTGGTTCTAAAACAACAGAACTGTGCATTCATGCGCATGTCTTGGCTTCTCGGCGCTACGCGCTCTGTCATTGTGGTAGAACACCTTGGAGTTCAGTTATTATTGCGTGGGACATCAGGAGAACGCAACCTAAACTCAACACTCAAGAATCCTGGCCACCCACATTAAGCAGAAGGAAACTTGATTTCTGGTAGTTCGGGTAAATTACCGCAAACGGAAATACACCATAGACCTTGGACGTCTCGTTCAGTAGACTACCTGTCGTTTCTTTAAGTCCCATTCGAACGAGCGCTCATAGTAACGGAAGCTGCTACTTTCGGAATCCTACTATACCTCATTGCTAAGAAGATTAGCGAGAAAATAACTTTTCAAGCCGGCTACCTTCAAATGTCAGTCTACGCGTGACGAATTGCGGATCTCTGGTGGTATTGAGATCCACACTATTTACCTTTGTATAGGTATAGCTGACAGCGCCGTGCGGCACAAGGGGATGAGATTATATTATTTAAGGTTGTTGTTAATCGTGTTGTTATACTTGTGAGTTTCAAATCTCTTTTGAAACATGTTTACCTGATAGGTCAGTGCCTGGTTGATCATACACTTAAATATCTGTACAGCGTCTCTTAAATCCTAAAAGATTCAGGTACCGGAAGAAACTTTAATTCTTTTAGTGTCGGTGATATGTGATCATATTTTTCTTCCCTTTCGCCCCATATTATAGTCTAGCGGCGAAGTTCTGAACAAGCTAAAGTTTAGCACTGGTCGATTTGCTACTGCTCGACCACACAGGAGAACAGCTTCGTAAAGACAGGTGAGTTTATTGAAATAAAGAGCGTTGGTTTTGAAAAAAAAAAAAATTGGCGAATTCCTCTTACCGCCGCCAGCTTGCTCATAAGTTGCAAGCTCATTTCTCTTGAGAAAACTAATCAGTTAAACCAAGTAAGTTGAATAAATATGCCTTTCTTTGGCATCGATTACATTGATGTTTATCCACTGCGATTTGAAAATGGACCTTTTGGCAAAATCGACCGAGATTTAGCATGTCTTAAGCTCACTTTAACTACGGTCAGGTGCGGCCACAGCTTCTGCCGCCCTAGTAGACAACATGGCGACCATCTTACAGTGCTATTTTGTGTTTATTTTGCTTTATAAAAACGTTCTCGGAATGTTAGCAATAAACAAACTTTACCGCTATTTGCATGTACTTTGAGACTATAGTTCATCTACTGTTTTCGCCATGTGGCGTGACTTTGGACAGTTTTTATCTAATCGGCCTTTGTGGCCTTACATCTTGAATGTACGGCATTTTAATTTCATTTGAAGTTGAAGAGGAAATAGAGCAGTGCCTTGAACTGCTTTCGCCCCATGGCCAATGGACTCAACCTCAAATCAACTTTCTAGTCTTTCAATTGTCAGTTAGTTTAAAAAGGTTATATGCATTCCGCGCCGGGCTTTGTCTTTTTTAGTTGTGCTTACGGTGAGTTTTCTTTTTGCTGCTGCTAACTAAAGAATGGTTAGATGAAATTAGGTCTAGACAGAATGAAAAGAGAATTGTCGTCTTAATAAGAATACCTCAAACAAATAAAATAACAGCAGGTTGGCTTGAAAAAGAAACTTTCTACTAAGTTAAAAATTAATAAATTTATCAAAAGAAGGACTGAAATAATGAAACCATTGGGGAGAAATTCTCAATCAATTGCCTACTGTGAAATCTCTCACTGAAAATGACAATTTGATAGCTTTGGTTTGTAATACGTGTTGCTAATGAAATTGAGAGGATGAACATGCTGGCCGGTTAATAAATTTTGCAAGTTATTAAATTCACGACAGCAACAAATAAAGTGACAGATAAAATCTCACAGTTAACTTGAACTTAATAATATAAATTCGCGACACAAAGAAGATTGAACGTACGTTTCAATTCGTATTAATTCAGTGTTATGATTCACAGCGTTACG